CAAATTCAGATGATAAATACAACTTTGAAGCTTGTAAAGGCATAATTACAAGCGGAGAACGGAGTAACGTAACGTCACAGCAGGCATAACAACAGCCGGGGTTTCTTGTGAGGGTTTTCCCCGGGAAACCAACACAATACAAACAAACGCAAAAACACACACACACACACACACACACACACACACACACACACGCTTCCCCCAGACCAGTAATCCAAACGAAAATATCTTCCCTCCGTAGTATTTTGATCATTTGCTAATACTCAAATCAGATGGATGGATTCCAGAGAAGAGGAAACTTTGAAGGCCTTTTTCTCAAAATGATGACTCTGTGACAGTCATTATATAATGTGACATATTTTGCTTAATATTTGGAGAACAAAAACAATCCTGACATCATTAGAAAGCTAGGAATCTCCTCTTTCCTCTGTCTTCGGGTCAATGCAACTGATTTCGATGGAGCAAATGGTCAAATGAGAATGTGACTCCAAACTGAATTTTTATTTTATATTATCTCTATATTTGTATCTATAGCTGTATTGCCCTGATGAACCAGTCAGGGAGGAGTAGGGAAAAAACATATTAGACATATTTTACATTTACCTTTGAGAGTGGTGTCGTTTCTCTGATTGGGGGTGAGTACCGGAGAAGGGGTGAGGGAGGGGAGAGAGGAGGGGGGGTGACGGGGGCTCTGAGTGGGGAGGTTTCTGGGGAGGCTTCGGTGGAGAAGGGAGACGACCTCAAGCGGATGGAGAGGTCATCGGAGGGTCTGGAGGAAAAGGGGGGAGGAAGTCTTCGAGATGTCCGTGGGGGAAGAATGGGGGAGGAAAGGTGAAGGAGAGAAGGAGGGGGAGACGAGGTCATCAACGCCATAACCTCCAGGTCTAAAGAGGCGTCCATTTCAAGCTCCTCCACGTCTGATTGGTCGTACAGATCCTCCTCCTCGTGCTGCTGCTGCTGCTGCTATTGGCTCCTGTAGTTCAAGCCCCGCGTCCTTCTTCAGAATCTAAAAAAAAAGTCAGTCAAAAGTATAACGATAATAAAAAGAAAGTATTTTGGAAGAAAATATTTAGCATAAAAAAAAATGAAAATACTTGCCTCCTCCTCTGCTACTGCTATTGGCTGCTGGAGTTCATGTCCCACCCCTCTCTCTGAAGGCTGAGCGTGTGATTGGTCCTCCTGCTTCTCCCTTTCTTCCTCCACTTCCTCTTCCTGCTCCTTCAGAATCAGAAAAAACAAAACAATAATAAAGACAAAGTATTTTTTAAGAAACTATTTAGCATTAAAAAAAGTATTAATACTTGCCGCCTCCTCTTCCTCCTCTGCTGCTATAGGCTGCTGTAGTTCAAGCCCCGCCTCCCTCTTCAGAATCAGAATCAAAAGAGTGAGTCAAAAATATAACCATAATAAAAAAAGCAAGTATTTTTTAAGAAAGTATTTAGCATTTAAAAAAAAGGAATATATGAAAATACTTGCCTCCTCATCCTCCTCCTCCGGTGCTATTGGCTGCTGGAGATGTCCCGCCCCTCTCTCTGAAGGCTGAGCGTGTGATTGGTCCTCCTGCTTCTCCCTTTCTTCCTGCTCCTTCAGAATCAGAATCAAGATTCAGTCAAAAATATGATAAGAAAATAAAGTATTTTTTAAGAAACTATTTAGCATCAAAAAAGTCTAAATTTAAATACTCGCCTCTTCCTCTTCTGCCATTGGCTCCTGTAGTTCATGTCCCGCCCCCCTCTCTGAAGGCTCCGCTTGTGATTGGTGCTCGTCTTTGGTGGATTGAACCTGGCTCTGTGATTGGCTTTCGTCGTCCGTTGATGTCACATGACAGGGAGTTGGGGTTTCTCTTTGATTGGTGGAAAGAGGAGGGCGACTGTGGGGGGTTAAGGCAGTTCTGTGAGGAGGGGGAGGAGAGGGGGAGGGAGGAAGGGGTAAGGCAGAGTGTGGTGAGGGAGGAGCATCGAGAGGAAAGTCTTCATTCAGGACTTCCTGCTCCCCTCCCTCCGACTCCTCTTCTAATGGACTCTCCTTTACTGTCTGATGACCTTCCTCTTCCTCCTCTTCTTCAAACTTCTCCTCCTCCTCCTCCTCCTCCTCCTCCTCTTCAGGCTCCTTTTCCTGCTCAAACTTCTCCTCCTCAGGACCAGAACCAGGACCAGCTTCAGGCTGTACGGGGCTCGTGAGAATAAAACTGGATTCAGAATCCTCAGGACTAGCCTCACACCGCAGAGGGCAACCAGGAGTTTCCTCACACCGCAGAGGGCTACCAGGAGTCTCCTCACACCGCAGAGGGCTACCAGGAGTCTCCTCACACCGCAGAGGGCTACCAGGACTAGCCTCTAGCCTCAGAGGGCTAGCAGGACTAGCCTCTAGCCTCAGAGGGCTAGCAGGACTAGCCTCTAGCCTCAGAGGGCTAGCAGGACTAGAACTAGCCTCTAGCTGCACAGTGCTACCAGGACTAGCCTCACAACGCAGAGGGCTACCAGGACTAGCCTCACACCGCAGAGGGCTAGCAGGACTAGCCTCTAGCC